GTAGATGTATTTATATAAAATTGATTCAAAAGTTTTCACAAAATTGCAAAGCAAGGATATAGGTCTGTAATTCGAAATTTGATTAGCTTTACCTTTTTTGAAAATTGGACAAATCATGACTTTTTTCCAAATACCAGGAAACTCTGAACGTTGCAAAATTAAAGTAAAAATAGTATAAAGAGGATCAGCAAGGACATGAGCGCAGTCTCTAAGTATAAAACTAGGAACATTGTCAATTCCCGATGTTAACGAGTTTTTGGATTGTTGCAAGTGTGTTACTACATCAGATATGGAAATATGATCTACAGAGATTATCGACGATCCGGGGTTGCAATGTACAGAGATGCTGTCAGCAGCAAGAGGAGACGGAGGAATAAAAACACTATTAAAGTAACGGCCGAAAGCATTAACTATTTCAAGAGGATCTGAAATCTCGATGTTATCATGATATAGTAAACCTGGAATACGTGTCGATCCTTTTTTATTATTTATAAAACTCCATAATTTTTTAGGATCATTAGATAATGAGTTCTCAGCAGAACACAAGTATGCTTTATATGCTTCACTAATAAGTTTTTTACAGAAAGCACGCTGAGTTTTAAATAAATTGAAATGGTGTTGATCTTTAGTCCTTTTAAATTGTTTATACATTGACGATTTAACACGCAGGTTAGTTATTACTTCGGATGTGAACCAAGGGGGATAGTGACGCTGATTTCTGGGAGCAAATTTAGGTACTGGCAGATCAAATAAAGCATATAATTTGTTATAAAACATTGAGCATGCTATGTTAACATCCTTAATATCTTTTAAAAAAGTCCAGTCACAGCTTGCAAGCATGTCATAAAGAAGAGGATAATTTGCATTCTTGAAATTGTAACATCGATCTTTACTATTCAAACGAAAAGGAAGGGAGGAACCCTTAAGAATTGTTTTTATGCGTAAATAAAGAGCGGGGTGATGTAAATCTTCATCTACCAATGGCGAGACTGCTTTCTCGACCACGCATTCAGAATTGAAAAAAATTAGGTCCAAAAGTTTTCCATGAACATTAAGAATATTGTTGTACTGATGTAAATTATGAAGATTACAAAAATGGTTTAAGGTGGTACAAAATCGATTTTCAATACTAGTAATATAGTCAGGTACATTGAAATCGCCTATGAATAGAACATTATTTTCATGTTTCAAAGGTTCTAATGAGTTAAGAGCATCAATAAAAAGTTCAAACTCTAGAAAGGGAATATTAGGCTGTATATATAATACTACTACAAAGAATTTAATATTTCGACAATCACTAACTTTAATGCATATCATATCAATGAACGGAAAACTACTAGTAATACTGCTCACATCTAATTCGCTACACTTAAAAATATGCTTTATAGCTAGCAGAACACCACCACCTCTGGATAGTCCTGTTAATTCAGCACTCCTGTCTTTTCGAAACACAACGTAATTATTAGAAAATAATTCAGTATTACTTATATCAGGAGTAAGCCATGTTTCTGATAAACCAATAAAATCAAAATCATTTTCCAACACAGAATTATAAAAATGTGAAACCTTAGATCGGAGACCTCGAACGTTTTGGTACAGTAATTTAAACGAGTAGCAATAATTGGGTGAGCGAACTAGTTTAAAATTTTAGGGACGCCATTGACATAACGAATTCTCAAATTTGTTTCGCCTCTGCTCAACCGGTTGTTCAGTTCTTCTTTGATCTGCTTGTAGTCAGGGTTGGGCACTATTTGAACTACTTGTAATTGAAATACAGTATTTGAAATACAATTGTATTTTGTAATTTGTATTTCAAATACATGACACAGATGTATTTTGTATTTTGTATTTCAAATACATTTTAACTTGTATTTTTGTATTTTCAATTACTTGAAATACATTTTATCAAACTACGGCGCGCTCATTACAACAGTTTTGCGATCGTGTTAATTCGTGTATGTTCGTGTACTTCGAGAAGTAACAGGATATTCTATGGTTGTAACAGAGAACATAGAGAAGCGCCATAATTTAAATTAAATGACGGTTGAGGACTTCGCAATTTATGTTGGCAGCAGTGTTTGGTTCTAACTATGAATAAAATTAACTAGAAAAAATGTCACAATATTTTTAACGACGCGTTTTACTTTCGACAAATTGACACTAGATGGACCATGGCCGACTAGTATAAAGATTATGGCCTGTCCAAAGGTACCATACGTGCTGCCATCTATTAATAATTCAAAAACGACAAAAGGATTATTAACACTTTTTGAAAGGCACAAAGTCATTCATACCGAAACAAACGACCATTACACGTTTTGAAGTCTCATAATGTCAAATCAAATTAAAATTTTGCTAAATTATTAAGTGTAATTATTAATAGAAGGCAACACGTATGGTACCTCTTGGACAGGCCATAATCTTTATACTAGTCGGCCATGGGTGGACATGGAATGTAACATACAGGGCCAACTTATAAAGATAGTGAAAGAATTCTGACAGTTAACTTTAAAATTTTTAGGAACGAGCTTCTATCAAAATTTTATTTTTGCCACTGTATTTTGTATTTTTAAAAGTATTTGAAATACTATTTTGTATTTTGTATTTCAACTACAAGACATAAATGTATTTTGTAATTTGTATTTCAAATACATTAAATTGAAGTATTTTGTATTTTGTATTTCAATTACAGTGGAAAGTGTATTTTGCCCAACCCTGCTTGTAGTACTGGTTTTGCTTTTGTGTTCTATCAAAGGAAATAGAAATATTCTTGTACTCAGGTAAGCTTCGTAGGTACTTCACACGTTTAATAAAATTGGTTACTTCTTTCTCGCTACGCAAAGTGACTTTTAGAGGTCTAGTTTTTTCACTGGAAGGGCGACCCAAACGTTGAACCTGCAGATGATCATTATCATAAGACGAATCCATGGCTTTGAGGATTTTAATGGTCGCAACCCGATCTAGTTCTGGAACTTGATCTCGAGAAAAACTACTTGATTGTTCTGGCAGTCCAAAGAGGATTAAATTTTGTTTTCTACTTTGGCGATCTATCACTTCACCAACGAGATCTTCAAACAGGGTAGGTGCTAATTCCTGTTTAGGAATAAAAGATGCCTTAAGATCATTAAGCTGGGTTTCAAAGCTTAGTTTCAAACTGTTGATAGAGGCCGTGAATTCAGCCTGAAGAGCAGAGATTAAAGTCTTCACATCCTTAAATTGCGTCATATTATTATTGCACGAGTTGCAAACCACTTTAAGTGACTTTGATCTGGTACGAGTAAATTTGATATCTGTATCAGACAACCCTACACAATTAAGATGTAACATTCCATGGCAAACATCACACGGTATGGATGTGGAATTCGATGACTTAGTATCAGAGCCGCAATTTGCGCAAGGATTCATTATAGCAAGGGTAGGAAGGAAGTTAACAGGGGATACAGATCTTCTGCACCAAGGGGTCTTTCAAGGTGGTTAACTGAAAAACAAACAGAAAGACCACGGAAGTAGCCGAGGTAAACACAGGAAAATGGGATATCTAATACACAGTATTTCGTGTCAGGTATAAATGTATCGCTACGTATGTATGACAAAAAAGTGATAACCTGATAACTTACAGCGAGTTGGTAGGATTGACCTCGCATTCGCACATATGTCGAGTTAATTAGTATCCCTAATTATCAAACAGAGATACCTTACTAGTATACGATCCAGTAGAGAATCCGTGATAGCCTGGTTAATGCACACTCAATATAACACTATCAAATTGAGGAAATACATAGAAATTAAGGAGCAAAATTCGGAGCTAACTAACTGCACTGTCACTCTGATGATGTTTTCTATATTGTGTAATTGATTTTCTTGTTGAGATGCTTAAATTTTTCAAATCAGTTTTTGACCATTTAATTATTCCAAAAAATATGTATTTATTACTCTCATTAAATTCTTTCCGTTTACCTATGTCTTCAGAATTAATTTTATTATTATTATTATTAACAAACAAATTCAAAACAATAGCTCGTCAGGGCATCTCCTGTACGGATAATATTTTCTACTCAATCGTGAAGGACTCACCGAATATCAAAATCATATCGGTCTATTTAAAGTCAGTCTTTCTTAAGAAATTTCAGCTTACTAACGTTAATTAGCTCATGAATGCGTTTGTCAAATTCTGGGCCTAGATTTGTTTATGACCCCACTTTTTCCCGTAATTTTATTCACCTGTTTAAGTAGGTACATGTTTTTCTTAAGCATTCGCAGTTTCACGTATTCACATTTAAAATAAGAAATAAATGGTTGTCATTAAAATATATTAATCAGTATATAGACCACGTCGGCAAAAAGTTTCGAATTTTTGTCAAATTTATGAGTTAACATAATATAAAACTTCATAATAACAACAGCGTTATAGTTTATTAAATCGGTAATAACAACCAGTTATAAACTGAACCAATTAAACATTCTTATAAAGCACTCCCTAACGATTTTAATGTAATAGTAAATACATATTTTGTTTTCTTAGAAGTCTGTCGAACTTTTGGACGTCTGTCTGCCGACCTGACGCCGGCAGTCGCAACGCTATATGCAATTCATTAGAAAAGCTTTTAACCCTAATGTAGATTGATGCGAATGTCAGATCTACACGCGACCACCGCGTGTATGAGACGGGGGTAGTGTACCCTCATAAATGGACTAAACGGCAACACGAGGATAGCTTACGTCTTGTCGAAAAGTGATCATTAATTACTTACCTGCTCCTATTTATTTACGATTACCTCATCAAAATTTTACATACAAACTACTGCTCTATGAATCATGGAAGACAGGACAGATGTCTTCGGGCATTTGGGGCCCCTAACCTGACGTTGGATGACTCATTTCGCAACTCTTTGATTGCAATCTGCAGGCAATACTTTACATGACAAACTAAATGTACGTGATTTCATTTATACTATTCATGAATTTAAAACGCTTTCTGCACTTGATGTGTAGAAACAAAATAAAGGCCAACAAAAAAAATGTATTCAAAATTTCGTATGCAAAACAGTAATAAATACACAGTTAGATATCTTTACAATTGAAAAACAACCGTATTAACATTATTAATTTCCTTGGAACTTAAATGCGAATGCCTGCATTATTTATTACGAATATAGCGTAGTCTGCAGCCAGTCCCTTCTGTTAACGTTAATTTGGTCACTGGTGTCAATAGTTTTTCGTCTGTGAAATTCATCTAGAACAAATATTTAAAAAATATATATCAAAGTAACATATTTACACTTTGATGCTCACCAATCATTGTTTTCAGTTTAAAAGCACATACCACAAAGTTTTCAAAATTCATGGAACCATTAAAACCGTAACGCAACATGATAATCACCAATATTTGTCGATTTACTTTGTACCCACAAGCAGTGAGGAGGTTTCTCAATTCAAAACCATCTAATTTCCCAGAATTATCAGCGTCAAATTTTTTAAATATTGCCTAAAATTAGAGACCAGTTAAAAAAACAATCATTGCTTCGAACGCAGAATAAAATTATTCTGTTTTTTACACAGGTTACCACTATTCAACAAGAAATTACCCCTTGTAGTATACAGTATATGCAAATTGCGAGATAACATCAAAGTAATTACAGTATATCTGATGATGAATTATAAAATATGCAACGGTATAAAGTAAATGGTACTATAGTGGAAATGTAATGCCAAAGAGACACATTAAAAATCTTTCTTTGGCAATACATTTCTCACTTATAATTAGTCTTAAAGTAGTAGTAACTTAACTACTTAAAACATAAAAAAATTTATCATCATGAAATGAGTTTTAAATCAAAATTATTTGATTGGGATTCGTTTATAAGATAGACTTATAATAAACACCACTGTTATATGTAAAAAGTTTGTCTATCCTTGTTTCCTCATTTTAGAGAATGTATATTTAATTAAGGTAAGCATAACATGATTCAGATTTCGAATAGTTTTACAATAATTAAGAATTAATTTATAAAATTTCCGTTTATTCTTGTTACAGAAATATGTTTCCACCTTCTAAGCATTTCATTATGACTTAATTCCATTACTTTGAAAGTGATTTAGTAAGTTGTAGAAAAATTATTAATAAATAATTTAATATAATATAATGTCAATCTATAAAAATAGATAAACTCCTATTAGATTTTAAAACTGGGCAAAGTTCACTCTCATTTTGAAAACCGAGAACTGAATAATTTTGAAGAAAACTGGATAATAAAATAACTTGTTTGATAGCTGTTCATGGTTATTTATACTAAACTAAAAAATTGGTCGAGGTTTATTTCAACAGAACTTCCCTCACCTTTTTCGAACCGATCTGGAAATCAATTTTGTCCCAAAATAAATGTCCGACTTCTAAAAAATGTTACTCAGCCTATTTTTTTAATAAATGGAAAAATGTGTTTTTTAAAGAATAATTATTTTTGTTACAATAAATACAACATCTTATAATAAGTTTTGATATAATATTGAACTTCCCTTGTAGTTAAAATTATTTTGGATTGTATTTTCAATTTGTTCTCTTTGTTTGTCATATTAATAAAATACATTGTCCCAGATTTCACATTTTTATTCCGCTGTTCTGAATCACATAAAAGCAGCATTCACAAAAAAAAAGACATTTTAAAATTGTCCTCAATGCCAAATTCGACTAACAGTTTTCGTTGAAACCGAATATCCTATAGCCCCAGCATAGGCTCCGCGCCAGTGGCGGCTCGTGGTGATTTTTGATGGGTGGGCAAAGCATTATAGGTAGGTTATAACATGTATGAAAAAAATATATATATACATATATATAATTAATCATTTTTGTGAGAACATGTTTTTGTTTTGGTGCTGCATGTCAATCAATATAATATAACAAATATTTTATGTATATTACATATATATTATTTTATAAATGTTACTTACAATGTCGGTCAGCAAGAACCAACGAGAACGTCGAAGACTCTTGCTAGAAGAGGAAAGAGGAGCAAAAAAAAGTTCAGCACATAAATAGATTTGTTGGGAGTTTATAGAACTATAAACTCAAATAATGATCCCAACATGTAAAGATTTTGAAATAACATTAAATTTTAAACCTTTCAGATAAGCTACACTTAGAAAAAGCAGCAATTTGGAAAATTATTGTAAAAGCAAAATTAAAAATGCCAAATCAAACAAAACATAAATTTTCAAAATACTAACAAAGTTAACAATAACAAATAAAATAAAAATAATTCCAAAATAATCGTTCTGAAGACCACTAATTACCAAAGACTCCTCCACAAAACTTTTTAAATTTATCATCGAATTTACTTTAAGAGACATTTGCGATTCATCTTGTCCCCGAAATGTATGTTTTTGTGTAGCCAAGAAAATTATCATATCGAATAAACGCCGAATTTAAGAGAATTTTCTATAGTTTCACTTCGTTTTCCAAGTAATTTTCGTTCATTCAGATTGGTCATGTTTTTGTAAAGCAGTAGCGATATATTTTATATCGCTCTTCTTGTGGAATTCTAAAGTATTCGTAATTTAATTTTATGTTAAATAGCAGATAATTCCAACAGTTTTGTTTGTTGTTTCACTACCGATCAACCAATAGGTACCTAATATTTATTGTCCGAACTTTGATTAAAGCCTTTATTACTGCCACGAGAGTTTGTGATGACCAATTGTTTCATTTCGGGACATGACCTTAATTTATAAACAAATAATTCATAAATATCAAGTTCCATACTACTGAATTTATTTATTAAAAACAAAAACTCAATGTCTTTAATGCCTTCTTTACCACCTCTCTAATATTATTTGCACAGCTTACAGTAGGATTTGCCATTAAAAAAAATTGCTAGAAAGTACCTACTTTGGTACCCGCCCAACTATTTGGTAATTTGAAAAAGTTACATTTTATAATTAAATGCACTATCCACAATGCAGTTTCTGATCTGACTGAATTGAATTGAGTCGTGTCTCCGACGAGGACGAACCATGCCGAGTGCTTCCGATTTTCAGGGTGGATTTGCCCACCCATGCTAGAGCGAACGCGTAACAAACCTGTGCGGACAGTCTGAATTAAATAATAAATTAAGCGTATATTTAACTTTTGTTGACTCTGCTACAGCTATATTAATGAAACAAAAATGCATATGTAATAATAAAAAAAATACACATGTCAGATACGTACTGCAGTAATAAATGTATTACTTATTCTCATCATTGGTTATTCGGATTTTTAAATTTATAATTCATTATAAAGTTTACACGGTGTCATAATACAAGAATATGGTTATTACAAATTTTCATTTGATATGAAAAAGTATTTATTAATTATTACGGTGTTGGTCTTTTCTATAACAATAGTATTCAAGAATTTTCGCATAACATTATTTTCCTTACTACCTTACCCATATTTCAATAGAGTAATAAAAATAATTACCTCTATACTTTTACAATACAGAAGAAGTAAAAAAATCGAAATTAATTTATTGAATCCTTGAATCGAATATCGAGAGATCCGATTCTGCAGCGTTTGAGATACACGTTGAGGCCAGGGCGTCCTGCCCCGCTTGAAGCAAGAAAACACGGACATGCAAAGACGCGCGTTTCGAATTCTTTACTCTCAATTACGTACATAGAAAACCGAACGTATGTCGTTGCTTACAATCAAGAGGGTGGACCAGGGTGGACTAGCCCATCCTCACATGAACCGTATAACGCCGAGATCTGACGCACTTTTTTACAACTGCAATTTCTCAGTTGCGGAAACTGCGGGATGTAATGAAGAAAATCCGTTGGCTTAAATGCGGTTTACGACGATAATTATTTGTGTATACATATAAAATATTTTAAAAAAGAAAAAAAATCAATATTTTACTTCGTATCATAAACAATCAAATAGGGTGGGCATTGCCCACCCTGAACACCCCGAGGAGCCGCCACTGCTCCGCGCTTGATATTTCCGTTTACACTTACTTCAAGAAGAACTTGGTAGATGCCCTGACGAACTTCTTCTGTGAAATTACCTTTTTCCTTTAACAGACAGACACACAGACGACAGAGAGACGATAGACCGACGGAAACGAGAGATCTACTTTTTAGTACCTTCGGGGTGATATTAAGGTACAATAGTACCTTACGCTCAGGAAGTAAAAACATATATGTTTTTAATTTTTAATAAAAAAAGGTAAAAGTAAAAATGAAGATGTTATTTTTTTATTTTTAAATATACAGGTATTGACAAAAACTGACTAGTTTTTTATAAACTTTTTGTAGTGTTTAATTTCTTTGAGTCAATAGTCAATAATTCATACTAACGAATAAACTCGGAAATCAATTCCAAGCATCGAAAACCTAACGTGTGCTAAATAAAAAAAAAAAACACTTCAACGGTTATAAGTAAAGTCCTGACAACTATCTACCAAGTACGTAACAGGGGCGCGCGCAAGAGAGAGGATGCCTTGGCGTAAACGTGTCGGACGGTCAGGTATCGGGGGTAGCAGCGATACCCCAATGGTCGATGTTTATTACTTGCATGAGGCCCTCAGTGTTTACATCCACGTGCAGAGTGGTCATTTGGCAGGTCGTATTAGCTAGAAACGTTTTTTATAATTTGCAATCAAGCGAGTATCAGGTCCCGCCACTGCACTCGATGTACCTGACCGCATCGAGTGGTCGACATTACTGCGCGCGGAGAGTGCCACACAATACCTGGGCGATTGCATCTGGTAGATAAGTGTCAGGACAGTAGTTATAAGTATTTTGGTGCACAAAATTCAAAAGAGAGAGACTTGAGAATTTTGTTACTCGGTATGTGTCAACTTATTTTATTTTGATTTTTTTCCCATGAAGTTATTTCGAATTTCCTAAAAGTTTATAAATAGTTTTCGTATAACCTGTCACAAACGGTTTATAAAGAGTGTTAAAAACTCAGAAGCAATGTAACAAGTGAGTATTATTTAGTCATTAGTCATTATATTACTCATTTGATTAATCGTTGCCATTATTTTGCTAATTTTCGATATAGAAATTACTCTTCTATTAACCATCAAACATTTTTGTACCTTGTATTTTTTATACAGGATCACACTGTTAGGCAACCAACATTTCAGAGAAATATCTCGTACATATAAAGTACATGTATAGTCTATAGTACTCTATAGTATAGTCAGTGACTTATATATAGTCACTGGTATAGTAATATATAGTATAACAAAGTAATAGATGAATGTATGTAGGGTAGTTATCAATCATTCAGATCGCAAAAAATACAACAATACGGTTATTTTTCAATTCATCGGGATATAACTTTTAAATACAGATTTAATTTTCTCTAAAAAGTTGTACATGACCGCATTATTTAGGTACTGTGCTTTTGTTGAAGTGTTTCTAAATATTAAGGAACGCTGTAACTATAAATGATCAATGTCAAGGATCAATGTTACATTGTACACATTAGAATTATTATATTTAACCTGTGATCTCATCACAAATAAAATAATATTAAATAAATCTATATCGATAAGCAGAGACGGTTTGAGATACGATATTAGGTAGTTGTATTTCAGTCCTAATACAATAAAAAAAAACTATATTTCGAAACATTTTATTTATTGATTACCTCAAAAGTGACCATAGGATTCAAATGAAATTTTAGTAACACAATTACTAGATTAGTATTAGGTGGCAATCAATAAGATTAAAATATTTTGTCCTCCCTAAAACTCCGATGCTGTTATTTTAAGAAAACGTAGTTAACGAAATATATTACCTTGTATCATATGATCAATACAGTTATGTATTATGTGGATCGTAGATTAATTCATACTGGAACAAGTTTAAATTCCAAATTAATGTCATAAATACATGAAGGTTAACTCTCTTATTTTTGAAAAACAACACATCTTTTCCAAAAATTTGATGAAATCATTTCAAATAAAAATGTGCTTAAAATTTTTAGTAGAGCATGCTCATTTCTTTGTGGTTCAACTATGTTTCCATATTTTTTAGAATTATTTGTACAAATGTCTGAAAAACGAATTTCGACAAAAAACGATATTTTATATACTTTTTATCGAAATTCTAGAACAGTACTGTAATATGAGAACGGATCTCTAGAGATATTGAAATTTTGTAAAAGCCATTGTTTTTAATTTCAAGAGGGAAACTTAATTTGGTACATTGCAAATATGACGCATATAAAATTTATATTTTTACTTCCCTAGCGTAAGCAAAGGAAGTATTGTAATCGAGTCCGTCGGCCGACTCTCTACTTTTGCATTTTCTCAATCTATCATGACCCCTAGAGGACGAAGAAATAGGTCTCCCGTTTCCGTCTGTCCGTCTGTCCGCCTGTCTGCCGTCCCGGATTTTTATTAGACAGATAATCTCCGAAAGTACTGGGCCGATTGTTGTCAAGTTTTGTATTGATATTAGGTATATCATGTAGATGCTAACCAAAATTTGTCTAATCGTTCCCACCACTAATGTGACGACGTCACTTCAAAATTGTACATAGTAATTGTGTTTTAAATTGTATCAAATAACATACTCCTAAACATGTGCTTTATGACTCCGAATTGAGTTTTTACCCGAAACGTCCATTTTTGGAAAAAAAAATCCAAATTATAGAACAACGTTTTGCAATTTAATTTTGAATCTGCTCAACCGAATGCTTTAAAATCTTGCAAATGTTTTATGGTTATAAAGAGCATAATAAATGTTTAGCCAAAATATATTTATTTATCCGCTCCAAAAAATTGATGACGTCAGCTCAAAAGATTGCCGAATAAATCCTATCTAAAATGTACAAAATATGATGACTCTGTACTTGTGATTTATTATTCCATTAATATTTTTTATAGTATACAGGGTGACTCAAAAAAATTATCATTGTATTTCAGGTGCGAGGGAAGTTCTGTCGAAACAACTTTCGACCAATTTTTTTAAATTGCAACATAAATTTTTTAACGAAATTTCATAGATTATGAATTTACGATTACAACGATATAAAATAATTTGGTGTATTTTATTCTCAGTCGATAAAAAAAATAAATTTATAAATGTAAAAAAATAGGGGCGTAACAGGTTTTATTCCCTTTTTTTTTTGTTAACTCTTGTTCCTATGTGCAAATAAATACTTGAATACTTATAACTCAAAGACAGTGCAGTCGTGTTGTATTTGATGCAAAACAACATAGGTATACTTTAAATTTTCTACTTTTTTTGAAAGAAGTTATAGTTAGTAAGTAACATTATACATATTTAAATTTTGAGGCTTATCCGAGACAAGACATATAACTAGAACAAACAGGTTTCGGAGGTCACATTTTTTTTTAATTACAACGGAAACGAACACAGTGAACTCCTTACCACGTTGTTGGAAAAAAAATGCGAGTAGGTGTTTACAAAAGAGAATAAACACTAAATTCTATTTTAAAAATGCAATGCAACACAAGTGAGAAACCAAACTCACACTCTACTTTTTCAACCCGCGATGCAAAGAGAGGTTTTTTATGTTATAATAATAACTTTGAAGTCTTTGTCTGTCTGTGTGTCTGATGTCTGTGGCACCGTGCACCCAAATTGATGAACCGATGTCAATGCATTAGAAATCAGCTCGGTTCTCACGAAGGTGCATCGGCCGTCGCAGCGAATTTTAACTAATTTCAGACTTTTTAAAAGTTATTGATTTTGTGTCGGGAGTTTCTAATTAATAACACTTGTTTAAACCGATACTAACATAAATGCAAATGTTAACCAATAATGATACGAATATCCGCATGCAACTGTTATCGTGCGAGAAGCATCATATTAATGAAAATAAAATCTCTTACCCTTAACGACGCAACATCCTGCATTAAGTTTTCAAATTCCTCATCATCAAGCCTGCCAGAATAATCTGCGTCCCATAACGCCACTATATTTTGACATGTATCTTTTGAAAATGAGAATTTTGGCTTCGTAAAACAAAATATTCCTAAAACGAGCATTACACTATTAGCGGCAATATTTTTTAACAATAAGTCGGTGCTTACTTCTAGTTCCAAACTGTTTATTAAGAGCTTTTTTAACTCCATACCATCCGATCTCAGATTTGTCACCAGCTACTTGTTGAAATAATGACTTATTAGTGAACTGATTGTCTTTCTGCTTAAATACATAGGTCGGTTATTTTTACTTATTTGCTGTTTAAAGAAGACTTACGGCTACATTGAGGATAGCATTAGAAGAGTATCCAACTTCGTCGTCATTTTCTCTAAAAAATTTGGTATCAAAAGAAAGCTTAGTTGAAGATAAGCTTGAAAATATATATTATGTTACTTTATTGTGGGATCCCTTTGTAATTACCCTGCATAAATAAGTTAAAACATGTTCCAACTTTTTTCAGGGCAAGGAAACCAAATAAAAAATTTTGCAAATTTTAAATAAGTATTGTCGGTTTTTTTTTTACACAAAATTTATAGAGATTCTGTTATTGTATTATTAAAATTTGAGTCAAGCATTTAAACCTCAAATTTCACTGCAAAAAAATATCTTGTACGAGTATATGTATAAGCATGGTTTAGAATGTATTTTTTTTTTTTAGTAAATTTGTCTTTTTTTAATTTATTTATGTAGGTATAAATTTATAAAAAAAGGACAAATGATAGTGACATGAACGTCTTATTCTCATTGCTTTTCATTGATCTATGAGAACCTGATTCTCATCTTGTCTAGTTTTTTTTTTTAATGAACTAGTATATAAGTAATATCTACTTGAAAATCAGTGATTCACCACGTCGATTATAACAGTGTGCTGAAAAGATAAAGTGAGATATTAAATACAGTACTCATTTATCTAATACATCACAAGTGTTTTGATTTACGAGACGCAATATTTTCTAATCTTTAACTACAGTGAGAAAGAATTTCGAGATTGTATATTCTTGTTGTAAGCTATGAGAGTGATTTCATAAGATTATAAACTTACATTATATTTGCAGTAACTTCGGAATATATTCTCAACAAATAACTGGCATATACATTTGGGTATCCAGTGCTTGGTACTATACAGTATCTTCCAACAGGCAGCATAACTCTGACAGTTAACTGGCGTGTTCCAACTTCTGCTCGTTGAACAACTGGTGCGGTGGATTCAAAAAATGATGAGTCCAGAAGTTGACCAGCACGCGTTTTTACCTAATACATAAACAAAAACATGTTGAAATACCACTCACTTCTGTATTTTATACCGTGGTACATACATATGCAGAATATCACTTACCCTATAGATGTTAATTTCAAGTGGTAATTCATTTTCACAAAGAGCACGTCTATCTTTTTGCAATAAACCAATCACTACTGCATAAGACGAACTGGATTTATCTTTATCTCCTCTGATTGTCAAATGGTACTGTGGATTGTTAGAAAAAGTATCTAAAAATTAAGAACTGTTACAATAATGTGTACGATACTGAACAACAGAGGATACCCATGAATTTACGTCCTCCACCAGCTGTTACATTAGGCACCCAACTACCTTCAAACATATTAACAACCCAGTTCTTATCATCGCCATCGGAATATAAGAACGAACTTGGATTAAGGTGACAAATATCTACAAATGTGAAGCATCTTTGGAAATCAGCAGCTTCAATCCAAAATTCTCCGTCAGCCCTTTTGGTTAATAGTTGATTTTTAAGTTCTTTAGGTAATAAATTCCAAGAATCTGAACTAAAAGGATAGCATACTTCGAAAACTAGTTGTTATTTATTACTTTGGTTATTTGTACTTGTCACTCCAGTCTCCATTCCATTCAGCATCATTTCCCCAAGGATTTCTTACTCTTATTAAGCGTATATCGGAATCGCCAACTCTGATTGGTTTCATGCCTGTCACACTGTAAGCATGTGTTGTAATTAAGCCATCAGACCGTCTTCCTTCCAATTCCGGGGACTAAAAATTTTGTTTTAAAAATGTGTTGACACCTAAGAGAAAATATTTTACTAACCACTATGGAACAACCCATAAAGGATGACCTCTGGTACGACACGTACATAATTTCATAAATTTGTTCATGGCTAGCACTATAAAATTCAGAAAGTCCGCCACATAAATCTTCTAGAGCTTCTGTGATTTGTCCACCCTCAATGTTTTTATAAGAACCATAAAATCTGAAGAACAGTTTATATATTAAGTATTTGTAATAAGAAGTTAAATCTTACTTAGCATAAGCTTTCTCCAAAAGTGATGGCCAAAATTCCCGTCTGTCAGATGACCGTAAATATACCAATTCGTTGTCAACGGTGGGTAATCTATCGTCAATCACAACATCAACCCAGCGTCCATATTGCCAAAATCTGTTTTCAGTAAGTTAATCATCAGTGGGAAAGTCAGAAAAAAAGATCAAACATAAGTAACAGATAGAATAGAGTGAAGTCTATATGTATATTTTTTCAGCAGATAACCGCGATATGAAGCTTTGAACTAAACAAAAATATCCGCATTATCTCTGAATCCAAGAAGTGCGAAACACATGGTTAAGTTTTTTCTGGAGCACTGTAAATTACAGAGCGTTTTCTTCAGTGTATTTGGCGCTAGTTCTCGGGAATTACCGTCAAATTAAAAATTAAATGATACGAAACCAACAATGGGAACTGTTATGTAAATGAAGGAACAACTCTTAAGTGGTGACCCGGATCACTAAAAAAAGTAATATTCTCTCGTCACTTTTCTTACACAACCCTTCTTTTAAGAACTGCAGGAATCTTAGAGGCAGAAAGGGATGAACAAATTTTGGAAATGATTATTGAATATCCAACTCTTAGTATTCGGCATACTAGTATTTCAGTCAGTAAGGATGTCATTAACGAGAAGGGACAGAGCGTGTTTGCAACAAAAAGTGAGTAGTTTTGAACATCTGCTACAAATTTTAAAATATTTTTATTTACATATTACGACACTGGTTGACACGTTAAAATTGATTTTTTAATAAACAGGTTACTTTATTCCAAGTCTTGAGTTTTATTTTCAAGTGGTGTTTTATTGGTTGATTTAATACCTAAGTCTTCATTTATGAAGGAAAGACTTTTGACAATTGAAAACTGCATAATATTACTTCCTTTAGACCCGATTTACAGAAGCTCAATTTAATATTTGATTGAAATCACTAAACGCCTCGTTAATATGTGATTAACTTAATCTTAGTTAAACTATTCTATAAACTGGCTCTTGGTCATTCCGATCACCAGTTAAGAGTTGTCCCTTCGTTTACATAACAAGCTAATTATAATTGTCACCAAGATGTCAGAATATATAAAATTTTCATTCAAGGTACAAATTCAACGGAATCGAAAAAACCCGGACTTTTTCAAAAATGGCCAGCAACTCAACACATAATAGTCGCTTTTTTCTTTTAGAAGGCTAATAAAAAATAAAACTTTGATTTGTTGTTTATATTTAATAGTAATACTAATAAGCATAGCACTGGCGTTATCACCACTTTTTATTTTTGTAATTACCTGAAGTGAAAAATCCCAGCATAATCTTGAGAAAAATTCTGATCATTTGGTACAACCATGCAGAAAAGTTTTTCATTAGTTGTAAGATTGGCAGTAGCAGCTAAAAACCAACAGTCACCAAGTTGTCCTTGATCAATATCAAAACGTGTAGCTCCGTCTATAATAAATTGAGGATTTTCGACAATTTCCTGAAAATTATGGTTACCACGTCAACCCAACTGTATTTTTTAAACTATAAATTCAAGGTAGATTATTATACACCGTAATTTTGTCACGTCTTTGTTTTCGGCAATAATAATAATGATTAATGAACATTAAATTAAACACTAAAATAAATTTCCACGTGATTTCTTCGTTCTATTGAACTTTTTACTGCTTGAACGCAAGCTCTTGAACGTAAGTTACGATCTCTAGACTATGAAAAAATAGATCTCCCGTTTCAGTCGGTCTTTTGCCTGATGTTTGTCTGGACTGGACTGATTCTTGTAAAATTGTATATCAGCTATGTTAGGAATAACGTATAGATGATAAACAGCTACTCAAAATTTGTCTAACCGTCTCCAGCAAAAATTTTATAACATCACTTCAAAATTTTGCATGGTAAACCCTGTTTAAATTTATAAAATAACATACTCCTGTACTTGTGGTTTACGAATCCAATTGATTTTTTAAATTATTATTTTAATTGTTACCCATGTTTTCAATTCTTAAGATTATTACATTTTCAAGTTTCAAAGAAATGGTTTACACAATTAAGAAAAAAATGGAAACGCATGAAAAGTTGCTGTAGTTTAAGAAAGATTTTATTCTTATTTAAGGTGTTTTTACACATTTGTGTGAACTATATAAATTATGTACAATATTTTCTTGGATAAAATATGTATTTCAAAAACTATTGAAGATGCAGATATAATGACGGATTTTGTTAAAAAAAATCATTAGGAGTAAGTACTTGCTATCCAAAAACTTAAAAAAAAAATATGACGTCGTAGCTCTAAAGTGGACAAACTTTAGAACAGCATAATGGGAAATTCAGAAATAAAAGTTGTCTATTTCGGCGTTTTCGGCAAATGCCATCAGTTTTGCAATTAGTGACTTTATTTCATAAATTTCCGCACTGTATAAAATTATACTTGATAAGTTTATCATGATGACCTGCATATGACTCATATGAGTGCATTTTTTAGTCAACGTTGCGCTTTCTTTATTTTAAACTTTTTCAGGACCAGATTAATTAAAGCAAAATAGATGAAAACTTCAGGAAATTCGGTCATAACGGTACCCGATTTTGCAACAGAAAACCCACTATGCAGTTAATTTAACCCTAAGCAAGCTTGAAATAAGGAAAACGAAACGTTGATTTCAAAACTGACACTTAACTTATTTATATAGACTAAGTGAGACTAACCTATCAAATGATAATAAAAAAGAAATTTTAGATAAAACTTTACTTACGAAAGGCCTTTTCCAAACAACTTCTCCTTTGATCTTCGTCATAGCTATGTTTTTGGGAGCAAAGTTTTCATCACTAAAAAGTGTTTTATTTTGTACATGGCTTCGTCGTAGTTTTAAATAATTTTGTGGTGGTCCCGTTATTTTAAAACCAGTAGTTTTTTCTCCAAACTGAAATCCGGAGAAATTTACCAATCTCATATAATATTTTAAAATCCAGTTCTTCATTTATACCGAATGTTATGTTGATCATACTTATGTTTATAGTAAAAACCTCAAAAATTAAATTTAATGCACTACTACAGTGGAACTACGAATTTGAAACTTCCTAAAAACAGCTAAAATTTATACTTCAATCGTATGTTTTTAGTTGTGTTATTATAAAGTTATCATTTTGAAACTTTCATACTCAAAAATAATAGTTAATTTTTTCCTTATTTCATTATTGTGCTTCAAAGAATGACAGTGTTTTGTGAGAAACTGAATAAAAATAAAAAAGACAATTTTTTCAGTTCGTACAAAAAACACAGGATCGACAGGCCTCAGAAGGGCAGTGTACACTGAACAACACCGCTGTTTAATACATTTTCGAAATTTCAAGACTTGAAGCAATGAAATATTATAGTCGTTTCCAGGCTTAAAGGCCTACATTTTGGGTTGATTTTTTTTTTAATAGAAGTAATATTTAATTTAAAAACCGTATTTTAGTTTTAACTCCCACTGTAAGTAAAAGTCAAATACATCGTTTTTGTCAAGTGTTGTGACGTATAATTTTGTAAAATACTTAAAACTCTCACCATATAAACTTTATCAAACTCGGCATAATTCGTGATCACTCCACCATCGACTGTGTCGGTGTCAAATAAGTCAGAAGAAGTTTCATCGCATGCCGGAACTACGTGATACGATGTGGTCTCACTTTTCATATTCTTCATTTTTGCACAGTTTTCAGAACCAGTGCCAAAACTAATTGTTCGGATATTTAAATCGTACTGACACTGTTTACCCGAGCAGATAAAACTATGTAGAAATCATTTTTGATAAGATAATAATCGATAAAATCCGTTAGTGCACAAAGAGAATTATTTTTATGAATTATTAGAATTTCTGTTTCAGAGAAATTTACGGAAACAAACTTTCACTTTTTAGGACAACAATACTTAATATTTGGAAACTGAATCTATACATAAAAAGATAAACTACAAAAGTTACATTAGGAAATAGATAAAAATATGAGGTTGTGTTGAAATACGCGCCAAAACGGCAAAAGTTACAAATTTATGTATTTTATTTTGTGCTAGCTATTAAAAGTAGGCTGTTTGGGCTTATTTTTAGTCTTTTATCTACCGGTACATAAAGAAGTCTTTTACCTACTGTTTATTTTGTACTTTGTTAAGGTTGCGAAGTAAAACCAAATAAAGAAAGTCAAACCAAGGCAACACAATTGTTATACCGGGTGTCCTACGTAACACGCAATAACTCAGGTATTTTTAAAGGGATTTTTATGAAATTTAAAACAAGGTAAAGGTTAGGCTGATACCAAAAAAAACTATTTTATCGTACAAAAAATGAATTTTAACACAGCTTCCTGTTGTTAAAAATTATTCAAAATTGCGTTATAACTTTAAGCAACTAAAATAACGCCTGTGCGCGAAAAATTAATTAAATCACTGTTTTTGTTTAAAAGAATCACGCTAATAAAAACGCAAAAATTAATTAATTTGATTTTTTAGGTTTAGTAGTGATGTCGGTGCAAAACAATTACCTGCGTCGTCGAGTTCAATTTTGTACACCCCTGACATTTTTGTCAAAATCTGACAAGTTAGTGAAAATGGTTCGCTTTTTTTTAATTATTAAAACAGAAATCATTTTAACCTACCTAATAATAAACTTATTTGAAGATACGGGAAGTGTACAAGACCTAAAACGAGTGAAAAAAAACAAGATGTTAAATACACCTAGCAAAATTATTTCCATTCAAGTTAGAATTAATTCCTGAACCTAAAACAATTTTGCACCTTCAAAAAGGTTGTAGCCGAGCAACTGAAAATTAGTATTTTCTTAAAATTTAACAGGTATCAAATTGCCGCAAGGGTGTCCAAAATGCGAGGAATACAGTTTTTTGTTTCATAGCTACCTATCCTTTAATACTTTTTGGAATTATTTGCGCAATAATTTATCGGTTTTTGTCTAACCAGACGTATTTCGGAGATGAATTTTTGCATACAGTATTTATTTTTCATGTTTAATCAAGTGATGTAAAACTTAATTAATTCAAAATTAAATTAAGGCATGGAAAATTTACTTTTTAAAAATAATGATTATTCTCACCGGTTCATATTAATCCTCACCTATCAAAATACCTACATTTCAAATTTCATAACAATCAGTTCAAAAATACCTGAGTTATTGCGCCCGAAAGTGTTACGTGGGACACCCGGTATATGTACTGAAAATATTTACAATGGTCACATTCGAATAGTTTGAAAGTTTTATTTAAAATCTGGTGCATACAAAATCAAATAAAGTATTATACACGACGATAAAGAATCTTTATAATATATAAGGTAAAAGTCCCAGTCAGTGATAAGGTCCCAGTGGATGATCAAACGTGCAAAAGTAATTGCAAAATAAGTATTGTACACCAGAAATCTGTAAAATCTTTATAGAAATATTATCTTGAAGATGTCTGTATGAAATCTGCATTTATTGTAATTTTGTAGAATGAGGTATTGGTAGATGGCAGTCTAAATAAAAATCTGAAATCACTTTCCATCTCAATTTCACAGCTTCTTTTACGTAGATCGCTAAGCAAGTGTGTACCAAAGTAATTTTATTATTTGCCTTCAAGCGTTAGTCAAATTAAGGTTTGTCCTCCTAGCATGTCATTGTATGTTTGAAAAATCATTTAAAATATATTAATTCTCAATAAAATTGGGTTATAATCCATAAAACTGCAATTCATCTACTGGTACTCTTGCAGTGTACCAGTGGTTGATAATAGGTACCATTTAATGGGTCACTGCGGATTAACGCATTATACCAGTTGATGATGATTCCAAAATTCCAGTTCTGAAAAGAGTAATTTTAATGAGAACGCTTAAAATTTTGATGAACACGTGCAAGAAATTACACAGCGACATTATGGATAGTTAGACAACAGAACGTGAGAATCAAAATATTCAAATTCTTCCAATAACTCCTGAAAAAGAGAATGATGAAATGCTAACTTATGTTCCATAGACTTTCAAAAAGGTTCTGTTCTGGCCAAAAACTCTGGAAAAGAAAAACGGAAAGGAAAAAAGAGATTGCTTCTGTGGCTAGCCCTACCCACTGGCAGATGTATCATCGGAAAAAAGAAAATACTTTGAAGAAACGAAAAAAGGTTGATACTTAAATGACCCTACCAAAAGAATTATTTTGTTATTATCAAATATGAAGAGATGTACTACCTGGGACAAATTTTAAACATAGTTGATCAAAAGTTCAGAGTCAATGTTATGTATAAAAATGGTGTCAACACAGAGGCCAAAAAATGGAAATGGCCGGATGCCATAAATATTTTATGGTGCGACAAAGAAATATTGTTAAAAAAAATTGAAACACCATCGAAGCTAAATAATCGAGGAGTGTTTAATGTGGAAGAAATACAGGAGTTTGACAATTATTTTTAACTTTTTCTTTAATTTTTTGTTTATATTTTTGAATTTTTTAAAAGTATGTTTTTGTTTAATCAAGATGATATGTTTTAATTGCAATATTTTTAAAAGTTTTGGTAGTTAATAGACTGAAATTCGAATTATCATCTACTACCACAAAACCGATCATTTACTGGTGCAGAACAATTTTCGGTATATCATCTACTAGTACAATTGATTATTTTAACTTTGATTTTATATTTCTCATTCAAATGATCATATATTTACTTAACAAAAATAAACTTTTGTAAAAATGAGACATTTCATAATAGACCCACATATCAAATTCGGTAAAAAAGAGTAGAAATGAATTTTTTACGGGATTTCATTTTAAGGGATCTGCTTAAGTTATCATCTATCCTTACTCGTGAAAAATAGCCCACTCGTGACTGCCGTCAATCGTGAAACACTTTTCACTCATATATGAAGATTCTCTTTATCGTCTTGTACAATAAATAACTATAGTTTGAGTTAACTTATAAAATTAATTTTTTTAAATATTTTCGGTAGTTTCAGAATTAAAAAATTCTACGCAGTGACAGACAATGGCATAGTTGTGGTATAATTCTTCATTTATCATATCAGTTCCAGCCGTTAGATGTTACTTTTTTAGCCCCTTTGAGATTAGCCTATAGCCAAGAATTCTCTAGTTATTTAAAAACAAAAACTTTCCAAAAGCTTATAATCGTGTCGCAACGATAGAAAAACCCGTGAAAGGTTTTCAGAGTACAGGTATTTATCCTTTAAAAAAATATATTTTTAGTGATGGGGAATTCTCTGTTACTGTTGAACAAAACGCAAATGAACCGCAACCATCTGTATTTGTTGAACCTATTCAAAACAATGAAGGGCAGAGTAAACAAGATCCTGATGGCAAAAGACTACGAAAATAAGTAGTTGAAAGCTGATGACAAACCAAAGACAATAAATAATTAAAACATGTTGAAATGAAGAAAAAGGAGCATGAATTTGTTGCAATTTATGTTCCCAATGGGCTCATTCCGGTTTGCTCTAATTCTGACACCGTCGAAAGTTATATCTGCGATAATTGCTGATAAATTAATTATCGCATTTATCTTTTTCGTATGTTTAAGGTAATACCGATTTTGCAATGTTTTTTTAATTAATTGTCATGTGCCTGTTTATTAATTTGTTTTTCTAATGACAAAAGTTTCTATAATAAAGAAATACCTAAGGTACAATATGCTTTTTTAATGACAACTTTGACTCATTAGTCATTAACTCATTACAGACCAAAACAGACACTGTTTTCCTTACGATGCAGCAATTCCCCAACTTCCCCTACATTATAAAATTTTATATGATACCCCTTGTAAGTTCAAAAAGAAATAGAAGTGGACTATTAAACTACAGATAAATAACCCTGCCTATGATTGAGATAAAATTTGATGATGTTGTCATCAACTTTTATTTTACTAGGGCAGATATATCAGTGTGGATAGGTACAATGCATTAGTAATAACAAAAGTACACAATTTCCAAAATTTCAAGACTCGTGAGATCAGCTGTTTTTATTTTAATCAATAAAATGCAATGCTTCATTACAGAAATGCGATATATTCCTAATTTCAAATATGATTTAAGTACTAAGGAAAGTTTTGAGATGACGTTATCAAGTTTCAGTGCAATAGCTCGGGTGTCGTAACTTCTAAGATAAGTGAAAAAATTTAAAATTTCGCAACAATCCGTCCATTAATTTGGGAGAATACTTGTCTAATAATATAATCAACAAACAACAGACGATAGACGATAGACAAACGGAAACGGGATATCTACTTTTTCGTATTCTGGTTATGAAAACGTCATTCGGCAAATGGAGCTTATTATAATATATAGTCTTCTACAGACTCTCGAGTTATATGGGAGGGTTCCATTGGTATGGAGTCAAATACCTCAACAAAGAAGATCATAGTAGGCATAATATAAACTTGACGGCAGAATTGCATCTATAGGCTGATTAAATACAATACGATACACCCCTGTGGTCGGATTTGCCATATTTACCTCTATTATGGTCTTCTTTGTTGAGGTATTTGAGTCGATAACAATGTGATCCTGCAATATAACGTGTACTCTTCCACATGTTCTAACGTTGTATTGCTCTGACTCAGAGAAAGGATGTTCACCCCGTCATAAATTACCTACACTGGACCAACTGTTTCTTAAGTCCAGGTTGTCTTTTGTAAGCTTCAACACTTATAGTCGTATTATAGATTATCTCTATTATCACCTTTTTTGTTGAGGTATTTGGTATTTGACTGTATAACAATGGGACCCAGCCATATAACGTTAG